GACGTAGAGGGAACCTTGGAAAAGCGTCAATATGTGACGACATGGGAGTGAGAATGTGTAGGATATTAATTTGCACTGACAAGGGGCAGGTTTGCTTTCTAATTACTGAGAGAGTTCAGCTGGTGTCTTGGCTTTCCATGCCTTTTTACACCTCCCTTTCTTCATGTGTTCAATACTTTTTCCCTGTGCCATTCCACATTATTACAAATAACTTAATTTCTGGACATTTATGGTTTTATTTCTTTGTATGTATGGATCGCTTGGGTTGTTACCAACATCTGGTGAAAATTTCATGTCATTAGCTCCTCTAGTAAATATTTACTGAGAAAAATGTTGACATGTTCAATAGTTATTTTACCTGCTGTATATATATATATATTTATTTTTACATCACATATACATGTATTTTATCTCACCTACTTATATTCTCCTCTCACATACATACATTTTACCTCTCACATACATATATTTTATCTCTCTTATATTTTGTCTCTCACATACATTCTCTCACACACATACATTCTCCTCTCACACATATACATTGCTTTCATACACATATATTCTTCTCTTACACACATATATTCTCCTCTCACACAGATATTCAGTGCAACTCCACTCGGTTCTCGTCTGATCGGTTCTTCTTGGGTGTATAGGTGATTTGCCACGGTACTTGTGTCCCCGCTCTTTGGGTGGTATTTTCAATGCAAAATATTTGGTAACATCTTTTAAAAGTGGGTGGTATAGTTAGTTTTTCTCAGTTGCTAAAACACTAAACCCTGTTGTTTGAACCAAATGCTCAGTTCCCTGGACCCASTCATTAAAATGACCACCCTTTTGTCAGAACTCTAAGCACGTTTGACCTAGACACAACTTGCAGACCTATTTTTACCTACTAAAATACACATTGCACTGTGATTCACATGGGTTCCACAATGGTAAGAACAGGTAGCCAAAGTGAGGAACAAATAAAGCACTGCTGTCTCAACTGAAACAAAGCAAACCATATTTGATTACACATATGTCTAATGATGTGAACCAACCAATACAAGTCAGTTTAAGGAGCCCTGGTCATCGAAGCTTCATTACGAGTAGAAACAATCACACAGACAAATACTCTAAATATACTGTAAAATACTGTATGCACTTTTATTGTTGTAGTGGATTGGATAGACAGACAAACAGACAGATACACACCAGTGCTGGGCGGTATACCGGTTCATACCGAATACCGTTTTTTTTTATTTTTGCTATGATATGAATTTTCTGAATACCAACATAGCGGTTTAAATAGCCTGAACACGTTCGGAACGTTTCGTTGCGGCCGCCAGTGAACAGTTTCTCGGGGGACATATTATTGTTGAGTAGCTTGTTGCAGCGGCGGGTGGTGATTCCGCTGCTTATATTGGCTGACGTTAAAAAACATCCCGTTTTCGCCATCACTGAATGTAGTAAACACCTCTTCAGTGACGTGCACGGTTAGATTAAACACACAACGTTAATATGGAGACGTGGAGACACATGGAGACTTTAATGTGCTTCTATTGTGAAAAGCCTGGGGGAAGTAGTTTTGTAGTGGAATTGAGTTGACTGGTGTGCAAGGTGAGTCGTCCTGATAAGTTTTATTAAATAACGTAAAACAATAGACCCAATACTAATCTTTGCTTAACACTCCTCCTTCATGACCGGACCAAAATGCGTGAATACTGTCTCCAACCACCAGTCAGAGAAAAGACACATAGAGGAGGGAGGGAAACAGCAACACAGACAGAGGTACAGTAAAAGAAAAAAGTTAATAAGCAGTTTTTGTACATTTTATTATCAGCTGGCCTGTGATGAAAAGAAAAATACCGTGATATACCGTGAAACCAGTGTAAATGTTGAAAATACCGTGATGTAAAATTTTGGTCATACCGCCGAGCACTTTGGAAGAGACAAAGAAAAAACATGTTATTGATAGAAATAATTACAATAAACATGTGGAGAAGAGAGATTAAAGACAACAGCAGAGTGAGGAAATGTGCTCAGTTTGTGCTCCAGCAGTCTAAGTCTACAGCAGCAGAAATGAAAAATAATTCAGGAAACCTAAGTCTAACTATAGGATTTATCAAAAAGGAAAGTCTACAGTCTAATCTTAAAAATAGACAGAGTGTCAGCCTCATGGACAGAAACTGGAAATTGGTTCCACAAGAGAGGAGCTTGATAACTGAA